CTCCCCCTGGCCAAAAGTGTCCTGAAGGCATTCGACAAAAAAAAAAAAAAAAAAAAAAGTTTAAACAAACTTATCCTTGTCCCAGCACTGAGGTCGCTGACCCCTGTCCTCTAGGACTCCTCATTCCCCCATCCCGAGGGCAAGTTCTGCCATAATATTTCTCCTCAGGGTGCACGCATCCATTTTGCTAATCTGAGTATCTAAAGCCCCAGGTGATGGGATGGTTCTGGAGGTATTTCCTCCATTTGCATGCCTGGTTTGCAAGTCTTGGGACACAAGTTTCATGCCGAGGTTGGTGCATGTAGGGTTGCCCTTGTTACAGTGCTTGCATCGAGAAGGGAGGCAATGAGGATAAAAGAGGGAGAGATGCTGACTCTAGGGTTAGTGTGAAGAAAGGACCTACCCGGTGCCCAGGCTCACTGGAAATTGCTAATCTGGTGATGCCACGTCAGATCTGAGAGTCCAGGCTGGCAGTCTCTTTGGGTTGGCTGCTGGTGCAAGCGCTTTCTCCTCTGCACTCCATTCCTCCCTGACAGTGCACCATGACACTCATCTACCTCATTGTGGAGGATGTTTTCCTGCTCATCAACTACTTCAGCTTCAGCTACTGGTTCTTTGTGGGCCTCTCTGTCGTTGGACAGCTTTACCTTCGCTGGAAGGAGCCCGAACGCTCTCGGCCTCTCAAGGTTAGTTCTGTGCAGAGTAGGAGGGATGGGTCTTCTTCCCAAGGGGTCTTCTTGCCCATGCTGTTTTTTTCCCTCTGACCTTAATGTTTTACTCCTTCTCCACTGCAGCTGAGCCTCTTTTTCCCTATCGTGTTCTGCATATGCTCCATATTTCTGGTGGTTGTGCCTCTCTTCATTGATACCATCAATTCTCTCATTGGCATTGGAATCGCCCTTTCTGGGGTTCCTGTCTACTTCCTGGGTATTTACCTGCCGGAGTCCCAGAGGCCACTCTTCATTCGGAGAATCCTGGGTGAGCTTCTCCTTGCCCTGTCACCCACTGGTTGTGTGCCCACAGAGGCTAACAACTTTCTTTGCTCTACTCAATTTTCTGGAACATAAGACCTGAATGTCCCACCAGACTTCTCTTTTGATATTGACTTGGGGGCCAGGGAGATGGCTCAGTGGCATAAGCGCTTCCCTGGCAAGCACAAAGGCCTGAGTTCAATCCCAGGTTCCGGGAAAAAAAAAAAAAAAGATATTGACATGATCACTTTAGTTCTAACTTCCATGTCGTGTTATGGTCAAAGCACACCCTCCTGACAGAGTAATCTCCCTGAGAAGTCAAGTCGTCCTATCTCAGACGCTCTGGGCATGGACTGGAGGACAGTGAGGGTTGGGAATAAGGGGCAAAACCAGGCTCAGGATGACCAAGACACAGGTGGGGAGGGAGCCACAGATGTGCTTTTAGCTTTCTGTGTTCAGGTTAGGACAGTTACTAAATGTTTTTGCTATGTCCTATACTTCTCTATTTTTATTTAGCTACTATCACCAGAGTCACCCAACAACTTTGCTTTTGTGTCCTGACTGAGCTAGATGTAACCGAAGAGACAAAGGTTGAGAGGAAAACTGACTAGAGGCCAGAGGTAACAACCCTCAAGATCCGGAAGGCTGGCTACTTGCGAGTTATCCATCAAAGTCCAGATACCTGAATTAAAGGAGCTTGTTGACTCATTCTATAAGGGGGCTCAGGGCCAATGCTCACTCATTGGTAAGCTATGGGAGGATACTCAGGGTTGGGGCCAGTCTGAAGGTGGGGAGCTCAGGATGGAGGGGAAGGTGGGGAACAGGGGAGTGGTAGTATTTCTCCTGGTGGATGGGGGTGATCTTGGCAAACACTTTATAAGCTGCAGTGCTAGGCTGATGAAGAGGGCTGGTGGTTCATAGCAGTTTAAAGTTTGAACCAGGAGTATACAAAGTAGCTACTTTTTGTAAGTTTTTCTCTGATCAGGTCCACCTACCTGACATACAATGCTACCATTTCTTTAACTGGTTCACAATTCTTCCCTGGAGACAGGGTTGTATGCTTTTGTTTTTTGGGGAGGATAGACAGCACAGCTTCCTTAACCAGTGTGGGAACAGTGTTTTTCCTATTTCTTGACTTCTGCAAGAGGAATTACCTATCTTGAAACTTCACACACCAGTGGTACGCACAACAGGAGGAAATCTTTTCAGGGTCTCAACAGTGCCCACTGAAGGTCCCTCTTGACAAGGTTGACTGCTTATTTGTGGGTCCCTATTCTTAAAGGCACAGGATCCCTCTATGTATAGATTGTCCATCTTATTGAGGAGGTCCTGCCTGCCTGATTGAATTTGCTTGGATTGTATTTGTGCTTTTAAAGTCTTTAAGAAAGAAGGAAAGCTGCTGGCTCCAGAATAAGTTGGTCTTGGCCACCCAATTGCACCCCTTCTAGCTGGAACCCTGGTGATTCTGTGGAGGCCAGGGGCCTGAAACAGGCTGGGAAAAACCTCACTGCTCTAGCTGAGAAGCAGCATCTCTACAGCAAAGTGGGAATGGTATGACTGCCACCAAATTCAAACCCCTATATTCCATTATTTGTTAATCTGGAACACCAATTGTGCACAAGATTAGTGCTCAATGTAACAGGTTATGCTTAAAAATTCACAGTACCCAAAACTGAGTCTTTCTGGTTCCAGACATGATTCTGACAATAGATTTTATGCTGAATTTCACATAATCTGTTGAGTCTTACCTGCAAAGATAAACTTTGATTTTTTTTTAAAAAAGCATATACTTATTACATCATTAGTACATAGATCAACATGTTACTAGCACCTGACTCAGGTCCAGCCAGAACAGTTGAACAAATTTTTGAGTCAGAAGTCTGGTAACACTATTTTGAAGGATAATCCTTTATTTATTGAGATGTTAGGTTTTTGTTCTAGTTGATAGTAAATTTCTGGGTTTCTGGTATGAACATTGAGTGTTATAATGTTCTGGAATTCAGGTGGATCACCTGGTCTTTCAACTGTCAGTGAGTTGAAGAGCATCTCACTGACCCAAGTCATCAAATACTTGTTCCTCTCTGTATGGGCAGGTGTAAGGGACTGCTGTGCAGACCCAAGCAAGCCCACCCTGGTGCTGGAAATATTTTCTGTTCTGAAAAACTATGCAGGCTGCATTCTCTCTTCTGACCTGAGTACCAGGCATTGTTTACACTACTAGCTGCTCCGTGAATTATGGGAATAGTATAGTTCTCTTCTACTGGCCTTCCCTTGCCAGAGGCCAGATGGGGCTGTAGTCTCAGGAAGAGCTTGGTACTTTCCGGACTTCTGTTTTCTCCCTGTGGTCATCAGTGAAGACTCTAGGAGAAAAGCTGCTTCAACCTCAGTTTGGACACTCAGCTGACTGACTATAATAGCGGAAGCAACAACTTTTGGTGCTCAAGGTGGGCCATCCGCTCAGGTCAGAGCAACAGATTTGGCCTATATGGATGTTTCTCTCAAGAGCAGGTGGCTGCAGTGGCTTGTACAGCAGATCATCTTGGGCCCAGAAGAACCTGCTAGCTTAGCACACTCCTTGGACAACTTTCCTTAGGTTTTAGAATTGGTCAACAGTAAAGACAAGAACTATGAGGCAATCTCCTCGCCTGACCATTCTTCACCAGACTGGCTTGTCACAGATAAGGGAGCATCTCTGGACATACATTTGCTCAATAAAGATTTAGGGGAACATGATCACAGCTGCCTTTGGTTCAGGGTGTACATCTGTGAGAACGTAAGGGGGTGGCATTCCTACTGTCATGGGTTTGGGATTTATGTAGCAAATTCTTGCCTAATGACAAGAAGTCTTATCCAAAGGCTGACTTGCTTAATCTATATAAACATGCTTCCTTGCCGAGCCAAGTTGGCACCCATCCCAGGGCTCTTCTGGAGTCAATCTTTAAAGCAGAATGTGTTGGTTTTGAGGATCCCTGACCCTGGCTGTAGCATTCACCCCACAATAACCAGCTAATCTCAGGAATTTGCTGCCCCCCAGTGGCTTCAGTGATAGGAAAAACGAAGGCCTCACTACAGGTGCCCCAGTCCTTGCTTAGTGAGCCATGTCATCAGATAGAAGCAGCATTCTTTGCCTTTGGGCTGGACAGACTTTCCCATGAACCCTTTTGTGGGAGGAAAGCCAGACTTCTAAAGCACTCACCACAAGCTTTACAGCAGAGTTAATTTCCAACAAGTCTTTGTCTCCTTAAGTCCTCCTGGTGTGTTAATCCCTTCTGCTGTAGTACAGTTTGTACCATTTTCTGCTGGGCAGTTTATGAAGTTGTCAGCCCTTTAATTTTGGCATACAAATAATGGTAAGCACATTTACAGTGGTAGAGTGTTTTTTAATCTTTGGTTTACTATGACTAATATTAGACATCAAGTTGTTGCCTATTACTTGCAATATGGAATTGTACCTTTGTTGGCTAACAACTCCTAACAGCTAGGAACTAATGTAGATAAAGGCTACAAAATGGAGATAAAATGAAAGAATGGGTCAGAGTAGTAGAGAATCTTAAAGAGGTGGGAAGAAGGCACCTTCTCATGTGACAGTTGGAGACAAATTCTTTTTTTTTTTTTTTTTTTTTGCGGAACCAGGGATTGAACTCAGATCCTTGAGTTTGCCAGTCAAGCGCTTATCCTACTGAGCCATCTCCCCGGCCCCAGAGACAAATTCTTAGAGGAAATAGTATACCTCAAAGGTTTTGTGTTGCCAGTAGCTGCCACTCACATGGAGCTGAATTAAAATGGAGGATTTTTTTTTTTTTTTTTTTTTTTTTTTGGCTAGTTGAGACTGCCTTAAGAGGAGCTCAATTAAAATGAAATAAAAGCTGGGCCTGGTGGAACATGCCTATAATTTTAGCACTCAGAAGGCTGAGGCAGGAGTACAAGTTCAGGGGTACATAGTAAGTTGAAGGTCAGCCTGAACAGAGACAGAGAGACCCTATCTCCACAAAAACAACAGCAATAAATTACTATTTTTCAGTGTATTAGATTGCAAATGATAGGTACAGATAGCTAATGGCTACTATTGCACAGTGTAGATATAAAGCAAATCCCTCTGTTCTATAGGATAATGTTAGGAAAATAAACACTAACTCACAGGACAGCTAGGATTTGGAAAGGAGTAGAGGAAAAATCTGCTGACTAGAGATACAAATTCTGGTACCAAAATAAGGACCCTGCATTTCCGTTTGAAACAGCTGTGGGGCCAGCCAAATAGAGCAGTGAATTAAAGCACCTGCAAGCAGGCACAAAGGCTGCGAGTTGGATCCCCGGGTCTGCTGTGGCCCCCTCCCCCCTCCAGGGGCACTGAGAAGGCGATTGAGACTGGCCATGGTGGCCTGCGCCTGTAATCCCAGATCTTGGGAGGCTGTAAACAGGGGGATCACTACATGTCCAATCTAGTAGTGAGACCCTGAACACCTTGTAGGCCCTTCCCTAAAGAAATTACAAACAACAACAAAAGAACAGTTGTGGATGAGAAAATACTTGGGGTAAAAACTGCATCTGTCCTACACATGTATAGGTTTATTTTTTCTTGCCATTATTCCCCAAACAATACATATATAACAATTGCATATCATTTGTATTATGTTGGGTTTTATAAATAATCTGGAGATGACAGTATATAGAGGATGTGCAAGAGTTATGATGTGAAAATACATCACCTTATACAAAGGACCTTAGAATCTGGATTTTGGTATTCACAGGAAATCATGGAACCAATAACCCATGGACACCAAGGGATGACTATAGTTTAATTTTGGTGAGTGCTATGAATAGTAAAGTTTTAAATAGAAAGCGAAGTTGAGGATGTGCATTCTTCCTGAAGTCCTCACTAAGGTTAATTCTGAAATTTTTGCCACACTACCCCTTTTTCATGAGGTGAAAGTATAGTAGGAAAACACCTATGACTCAGACTTAAAGGTTTTAAGCAAGGCACAGTGGCATATGCCTGCCATCCTAGCACTTTTGAGGCTGAAGCAGAAGGATCAGCATGAGTTGGGAGGCCAAACTGGGTAGGATGCATGGCTGAGTTCAAGCCCCTTCTAAAGTACATAGCAAGACCCTGTCTAAAACAGTTTTTGTGAAGGAATTGCTTGTTTCCATGTTGAAAAGTTTTATTAAACAGAGCAATACTCCCCGGTTCTGCAAAAAAAAAACAAAAACAAAAACAACAACAAACCAACCCCCCCCCCCCAGAGCAACACATTTATGCATACTATTTCTTGGCACCACTGCCAAAACATGACAGGAATCTTTACATCATTGTCACAGTAAGAGGCTAGGAGGCAAGGTAGCTGTTAACATCACAGCTTAGACAGATTCTACTTCCTGCCCTAAAAGCTGTTATTGTCCAGACTGCTGCTGTAAGGGACCCACTGTAGCTCTCCCAGGTGCCCATTATTAAAGCCTTTTATGGTGGCAGGCAGTCTGCTGGTAAGGGAAAGCAGAATCTTACAGCTAATATAACTAAAAACCTCTCCTGAAACCGTTTGGCTTTGCCTTTGAACTAAAAAGCCAGGAACAATGCCTCATGGAAGTGAGAGGAACTTTACATTTTACACAACTGTTTTTTGCCAGATTTTAGTCACTTTTGATTGACACCAAGGGGCTCTATTAGGAGTGGAAGACTTACACTATTAGCTTTTTGGTGGGCTGGGATGGTACTGCTTGGTATGCTTTTTTCTTCCTTCTCTTCAGCTAGGTATGTGACCAAGAGCATGTGACCAGGCCAGTTAACCCTAAGCAGAGACTTCTTGGGTCTGTGGTAGAACCTCATGGATAGTATAATCCCTTCAGTCTGAATCCAGGTTATCGTAGCCGAACTCCTTCTGTACATCCAAAGGGTATTTGTGCCAGATCTGTTGCCTGCTGCCTCTTTCTTCTTCACTCAGGCTGTCATACTCATCAGAACCTAGAAGATACCAGGAATGTACTCTCACTGTATGGTTTTAGACTATAGAAAAGCCCCTTTTCAAATAAGTCTGTTTTTGTTCTCCATTTAAAAAAATACTTGCTTAATAAAAAAAATTTGAATACAGAACTTTCTTTTTCTTAAAAAAATAACAACAACAACAACAAAAAAAACCAAAACAACAAACTATATTTCTTCCATCTACACAAAGTTAACACTAGTGTTTTATGATTTTCCCCACAGGACTTTATTCCATTGTCTGAATAACTGTTCCTTTATTTTATACACCTAGAAATGATTTTTGTTGGCTATACTTAGAGAATGTAGCAGTCACCAGAGAATCTGGGTTCTTTCCTTCCTCTTCTTCTAGGTACCACAGCAGTACTGCATCTTTCTCAAAACAGCTGGGCTGGGTGTGGTGGCACATGTCTGTGATCCCAGCACTCACCTGTAATCCCAGCACTCAGGAGGCCAAGGCTGCATAGTAAGCTCAAGGCCAGCCTAAACTATATAGAGAATCTGTTTCAAAAAGACAAAAAACAATAGCTGGGCTAGGTATGGTGACACATGCCTGTAATCCTAACACTTGGGAGGCTGAGGCAATCACACAAGGATTGCTGTGAGTTTGAGGCCAGCCTGAACTACAGAGACCTTAGCTAAAACAAAAACAAACCAGCTAAAAATGCAATCTTGAGAGATTAGATAACTGACTCATGAAAACTTTAGTCCTACTCTACTAGTGAGCCTCTAATAATTTCTCTCTTGGTAGGGTAGGGTTAATTGGGAATTAAACTCTGAACCTCACACTTGTCAGGCAGGTACTGTGCCACTGAGCTATATCCTGAGTCCTCTACCAATTTCTTTTTTGCCTTTTTGAGACAAGGGTTCACTATGCAGTTCAGGCTGGCCTTCCACTCATTTTGTATCCCAGGCACACATTGAACTCAATGATCCTCCGGCTTCAGCCTCTTGAGTGTGGGTACTGGGATTATAGGCATGTCCCGCTTAATTTCCTAATGGAATGAGGGAAAGGGACAAAAAACTACATGTCTTAATCTAAATCACTGAAGTTGGTACAGTATTGTCCAATTTTCTGGGGAGAACATAAGCCTCAGTAAAGTAATCTGCATAAGACTCAGGCAGCAATAGAACTAAGGATCTGAACCGCCACACTTGACTGACATTACATTCTCAACAGTTCCTCTGGAAAGAAGGGACAAAGCTGAGACATACTGATCGATTACGCCGTCACCTCAGACTTGGGCCTACTAGTTTCCTCCCATCTAGGCTGCCACTCACCCCTGGAATCTTCCTCTCCATTGCTGCTCTCTTCTTCTGGGTATTCATTGCGCCAGTTATTCTCACTGTTCTCATCATCTTCATCTTCATAGGTGTCTTCTGGTTGCTCATCATCATTCACCTGCGCATCTCAACACAAACATAAATCTAAGTCCAAATGTTCTTTGCAGGAAGCGATTAGCATACTACCTTGGGAAGATTCAGGTAAAAGGGCCACTTGGAAACGAAAGACTGGGAGTTATTTTGGCTCTGCTGCACAAGAAATCAGATCTTGTGCTATGAGGGGAGTCATAGTAGCCCTCTATCAAGAGCCCAGCTCAAGGGTCAGCCTGATAGCTCAGCAGACTAAAGTGCCTGATTAGGCAGAGTGCAGCAGCTGGGGTTTGATCCCCAGCATGTGTGCTGGCTTTGCCCATGGCATGTACCTGTAATCCCAGCACTTGGGAGGCTGAAAACAGGAGAATCACTATGAGTCCAATCTACTATGAGACTTGGTAGACCCTGTAGACCTTGTCCTAAATACAGAAGAAAAAGAAAAAAAGAGCCCAGCTCAGATGTCACACTCCAGTTCCACCAGAAGAGGACAAGGGTAGAGAGAAACAGTAGCTCTTAACACAAATGGCAGCAATCTTCAGATTCCTAAAGGGCAGTCACATGAAGAGTGATATGGGGGATGCCAAAGGTCCAACACAAGCTTGAGAGTAGAGGATGCAGGAAGACTGGAGTAGGTAGGAGCCAAACAGTATCCAGTATCCATTGACAGAATCTTCATTGCCAAATTACAGTTCTAGCATAGGTGTAGGATAAGGTGCATTTTTCAGTGTCTGGGTGATGGGTGCTATTCTCTTTTCACTGATCATATTAGCATTTAAGAATAATGGCTTTAGGATGTTTGCTTTCATCAAGGGGTTGTGCTTTCAAGATAAAATAAAAACATAAGCTGGGTTTGGTGGCACACACCTGTAATAGCAGCACTCAGGAGGCTGAGGCAGAATATTGGGTTTAAGGCCAGATTAGGTTACATAGTAAGTTCCAGGCCAGATTGGACTACATAGGAAGATCCTATCTGAAACCAAAAACATAAAATCCTTTCAAATAAAAATAAGAACTAAAACTTTTTTCAGGAATGGAGCCCTGTGAGGCAAAACTTGAAAGAGCTTAGGTTATCATATGCCCTCCCTCATGGGCCCCTTACCAGTTCCCATTCTTGGGTATAAGGTTGCACAGAGAGGATGTTCTCAATCCACCCTGGAGTGGCCATCTCCAAACAGTAAATGTCATAGACGTAGTCATCATGCTTCTGTTCCTCCTGGTGTCCAACTGCTGGCTCATCCTCAGATAGAGTCAGCCGCTCACGGATCAGCTCTACAGAATTGCAGAGGATCACATCTGGATCAGAAGTCTGTAATAAAAACACAAATGAAAGCACAAAACACGATGCTCCAAGAGGAGAAACCCACCGAGTGAAGGCAGGCCTGCTACAGTTCTCCCTGTTAGTATCTCCTTAACTAACTATGTGGTACTTATTTTCAAATAGAAACCTGTAAGATAAACATCCTGCTCTTTTGTGCTAGGCTGAGACAAAAAAACTTCTGGGAAGCCTGGCCTGATGAGAGGATGGGGAAACAAGATGAGCTGGCCAGTCTTATTCCCAAGTGTGGTCAAACATGCTTCTACACGTCTTCTCTGAGTTTCTTTGATATGATGCTCTTCCCCTGGGAGTCCATGGGCTGACCCTGAAATGGCTTGGCATTCTGTGGGACTTCTGAGAGGCCAAAGGCAAGTACAGGTGACCACTATTGTATCATTTGACTTGCCTTACACTGACATCTTGTTTTTAATCACAAAGTGGACTCATCTATAATTATTTTTCAAAATGTATTTGGTAAAGGGTCTCGCTACACAGCTTGGATTCTGTAGTGATCCTATTTTCAGCCTCTTCAATGCTTGGATTACAGATGTGCACCACCATACCCAGTCTCATTGGGGGTGGATCCAGTGCAACATGTGGTGCCAGGGATTGAACCTGGTCCCTGTACTTGCCTAAGCAGGCATTTACTGCTGAACTATTTCGCCAGCCCACATCTATAATCTTTCTACTGGAAAGAACAGCTTAAAAGTGAAATGTCCCATCACTTCCAGGTGCCCAGTCTCAATCGTCATCTCAGCGCACCCGGGGATCCTCGGCCCCTGTGTCTAAGCAGACGCTTTATTTTTTTATTTTTTTATTTTTTTTTTAAATTTATTTATTTATTTGTGTGTATGTGTGTGGCCAGCTCAGCCCACCAGGGGGTGGGGCTGGCTGGCATGTGGTGCTGGATGATCGAACTGTAACCACGGTCCTGTGCTTTGCTAACCTTGTTCTAAATAGGTGCTTTAGACCACTGAGCCATCTCACCAGCCCTAAGCACTTTAAACTGAGCTATTTGGCCGGCCCTCCCTCTTTTTTCTCCCTGGACTCTAGATACACTGACCTTGCAAACACCAGACCAATTAGGCTTCAGGGTCTTTACACTTTCAGGTAAAGAATATTTTATTGTCTGCCCCTTCCCCAAATATCCTTAATGTTATGGTTTGTATTTAAATGTACTCTTCCCTCCCAAAGCCTCACATCCTCATAGGTGGCAGTTTGAGGAGGTGAGTGGATCATGGGGGTGTGACACTCACCAGTGGATTAATTCTCTGATGAGCTCCCAGCTAAATGTGATGTTCAGAGGAGGTGGTGTGTGGACTGGAAGGATGTACCTCTTTCCTCCTTTGACCCGTTTCTTGCCACCACATTACCAGGTATTTTTCCTCTGCCAAGCCACCCTGCCTGGGAGCCTGCCAACCATAGGCTGAAACCGCTAGGCACTGTGAGCCAAAATAAACTTTTCCTCCTTTAACTTGTGAGTGTTGGGTATTTTATCACAGTAACAAGACAAGTGATTGACCTTCAAATCTACTCAAATGTTTTCTTTCCAATGAGAATTTCGTGGAAACGGCACTGTTCTTTTTCCTGCTACTTCACCAGCCCTTACCACTATGACAATGTGTTTACTTGTTTCACGACTCTCTTCAAAATAATACCCGACACATAATAGGCTCTTAGTAGATACACATAGAATGAAACCCAAATCAGTACAATGAGCCAATCAGGCCGGATGAATTATCCATCCCCAAAGTTACCGTGTGCCTCTTGGTCATGTCCTGGTCTCAGACACATTTCCGGCACTATTATTCAGGGACACTTGGTGCCCATAAAGTGACACTCACTTTGCTGGAGTCGATAGTGGCGGCCTCTGGGTCTCCCTCCTCATGTACCAGGTCCACCAACTGGAAGCCTGAATCCCCGACAGCTTCTGAAGTCCCTGGCGTGTATTCAGACTCCAGGCTGCCGGCGGTCCCTGACGCTCGGCGGCCGGAGACCACCCGGTAGCGGCCCTCTTTCCTAATCTCGCCAGCTGTGGCGCGAAGATCTCGGCGAATACGCTGCTGGCTGCCTCGGTAAGGGCGCAGGGCAGCCCGCACGAGTGGCTGGATCGGCTCTTCCTAGAGGAGGGGATGTCAGAAAGGGTTTGAAAGGGTCTGTAAGGAGGACAGAAGGCTTAGGGAATCGCAGCAAAGCCCTAAATCCCTCTACATAGGCCGCATCCTCGTCTAATACCTGGGAGCGCACGGTGGCCACCAACTGAAAGACATTATTCTCCGCCGCTCGGTCCAGACACTTTGGTGTCTCCTGAGTAACTGACTCGATCTCATCGCTTCGGAGGCGCTTACACGCCAACACCAGAGCCTCGGCGGGCTCCGCATTACGCTTTCGCTTTACTCGGAGCACCGCAGTCCTGCCGGCCTCCATAGCGGCTGTCGCGAGGCACTATGGGGAAAGCTCGTGGAGCGGAGGAAGAGCAATCCAGTTCCGTTGTGGGCACGGTTCCCGGCATGCTCTGCGGGCGCCCTGTGATTCTGCCCCTGCGCGCCTCTTCAGCGGCAAGATGGCGTTGGCGGCGGAGCTAGAAGGAATGTTCCTCGCTGCTGGTGAGGTGCCTGGTGTACTGGGAAGGTGGGATCGTGGTTAGGGGCCTGAGTCCAGCCCGCGTCCTGTCCTCAACCCTAGAGCTTCGGCGGAGGCACCTAGCCTGAATTTACCGTGGGGCCGAGTAACGCGTCTCTTTGGAATCTTTACTGAGGTCCGCGTGAGGCGGCTCCGAGAGCGCCCTGGCTGGCGGGAGAGCGGAGCTGCAGCTCGGTTCTAGCTCCTCGGACCAGCCAGGCGATTGCCTTCTCTGGGTCTAAAGACCACAGTGTGGAACTTAGATCACAGCACTCGTGCCTAGAGCGTCCAGTCAGCCACACAGACCCATACCCAGTCGTACATGGCTCCAGCCTTCGCACCCGAATAGGGTGACACTTTTCAGAGGACTCTTAATAGTTCGCCATTCTTAGTCACTGTTCTGTGTAGTGGGAAGCCAATCTATTTACATACCAGTCTTGTAAGTGTGTACCCTGCAGAGACATAATTCTGCTTAGAATCCCTGGGTGGTTCCTACTGGGTGTACTTAGAGTAAAATTCAAATGTCGAAGCCAAAAAGTCTGGTGTGAGTTGCAGAAGTCCACCTCTATAAACTCTTACCGTTTCTTCGCAAAGCGCGTCAGTCATTCAGTTTTATCACATTTTAGTTGTGTGTCTCATTCTTCTCATAGCCCATTTTTGGAAAAGTTAAGAGTAAAGATTCCAGCTAAATTTAGCAGCTACGGTGGTATAAGTTTGTAATTCCACCTACTACAAGTCAGACAGGAGAACTGAGTTCTAGGCAAGCCTGGATTTAGCAGGATCCTGCCTCAGAATAAAGATAAATAAGTAAATGGCCAGGGATCTCAATGGTGGAGCACTTGCATAACATGCACAAGGCCCCGGGCTTTAACCCCCAGCACCTCACAAAATAAGTTACTGTCTCCTAACTTTTACCCAAGCTGGCCTTCAAATCCCAATTTTTTTTTTTATTTTTAAAAAATTATTTATTTGTTGTGTGTGTGTGTGTTTGTGTGTGTGGCTAGCTCAGCCCACCAGGGGGCGGGGCTGGCTGGCATGTGGTGCTGGGGGATTAAACTGCAATCCCTGGGTTTTGCTTAGCTTAGTTTGTTCTAAGTAGGCGCTTTAGACCACTGAGCCATCTCACCAGCCCCTCAAATCCCAATTTAAAAGCTGCTTTCCTCAAAAAATCTTTCATAATCTTGTATTCTTTACATAGTGCCCTGGTGGCTTTTACTTGGCACTCAAATAGTCTGTAACTGTTTATATTACTCTCTCCCTTTACAATGTAAATTCTTGAAGGATAAGGACCTTCTCTGTATAGTTTATAGTGGTGGCACCAGCCCCTAACACAATGCTTTGTTTATTGAAGGTATTTAGTGAGTTTTGCGTGAATGTCCAGAATATTTACTCTGAACTGCGCTAATAATGCTGTTACATTTTGGCATAATGGCTTCCATTTATTCCTGGTATCTACAAGAAATGTGAGGTTTTATTTTTTTAAAGAAAATACGACATAATGATAATAAAAATTAGAAATACAGAATTTCACTAAACAAAATAATCTGAATTTGACAATATTTGTTGTATTTTTTTCTGAGCAGACAATCATAATAATCTAAGGGTATTTACTTATGAGTATGTAATGCTTATTCAAAGTTCAGGAAATTGTTAATACAGTTCCCATCTTCAAACATTACTGATTCAGGACTGGGGAGGATATGGCTCGGTGGTAGAGCACTGGCCTAACATGCTGGAGTCCCTGGGTTCAATCTCCAGCACTGACGCCGATGACTTAAGAGTTTTGAAAAGGTATTGTACTCTAGTTATGCTTTCAGAAGTATCACAGACAATAGAAGAATTCCATTTATCAGAGTTCTTTCCTACTGTCTTAATCTTTGGAATTCTCACGGACCACAGGATAAGGGTTTCAAAACTTTTCCTTATGTGGATCTCACCAACATACTTGCCTCCTTTTTCATTAACTGAACTGATTTATTCAGTCGATGTATATGAATCTCTAAGCCTTTTTCATCTGATAAAGTACCTTCCATTTGTATCCGTCTTTTTTTTTTTTCCATACTAGGGATTGAACCTACGTGGCCTTAGAACTGAACTACATTCCCCAGACATACATACATACATACATTTATTTTTGAGACAGGGACTCACTAAGTTGCCCAGGCCTGGTTTGAACTTATGATCCTCCTAATTCACCCTTCCAGAGTGCTAGGATTATGGGCATAAATCACTACCAGGTTCTATATATCCTTTAAGCATTCTTTGAACATTTAGCCAAATACGATACTTTTATTCTCTTGTTTGTTTCACCCAGACAGATTCTTACTATGTAGTTGAGATGAGCCCTGAAGTCACTGTGTAGCCCAGGCTGGCTGTGAGCTTGAGGCTATTCTCCTGCCTTAGTATCCCAATTGCTGGGATTACAAATGTGCACCACTATGTCTGCCTATTTCTTTTTACTATACAGTTTCACAGACCATTTTCTTGTTTGTTTGTTTGCGGAACCGGGGATTGAACTCAAGTCTTTATGCTTGCCAGGGAAGTGCTTATTCCACTGAGCCATCTCCCTGGCCCCTCACAGACCATTTTTTGGTGGAACCGGGGATTGAACTCAGGTCCTTTCGCTTGCCAGGCAAGTGCTTATTCCACTGAACTATCTCCCCGGCTCCCACAGACCATTTTCTAAAGCACATTGCAGGGGCTGGTGAGATGGCTCAGTGGTCTAAAGCACCTACTTAGAACAAGCTAAGCTAAGCAAAACACAGGGACCGCGGTTCAATCCCCCAGCACCACATGCCAGACAGCCCCCCCCTCCCCCCGTGGGCTGAGCTGGCCACACACACAAAATGAATGAATGAATGAATAAATAAATAAATAATTCTTTAAAAAAAAAATAAAGCACATTGCAGATTGTAAAACTTTTGTATATTCTGTCTTTAGTAGTAGTATATGTGATACACAGAACTGACTATAGCAGTGCTTTTCAAACTGCAGGTTGCAACCTCATGATGAGATGGACTTGGTGTATCATGACCAATAATTTAAAAAATAAAAACAAAAAATAAAAACAAAATAGGACATACAGAGGGCTTTCTCTGTAGGTGGTTTCAATATTTTGTGTAACTCAGTTTTATATGCATATGTGTATATTGATTCTCAGTGTACAGTATGTTTTCTACTAGGGTTCTCAGGACATTTCAGAATCACTAGATTAGATGATATGGTAAGATTTTAGGAGTAGTTTTACTAAAAGAAAATTGACAATTTTTAATCAGGCATTGACTGCCATATGTTTTTCAGAAAAGATGGTTTTCCACAAGCTTCTATAGGAAGTTACTTAGTATTTACTTAGCCCATATGTTGAAAGAAAGTAAAAAACTCTGGGCAAGAAAATGCCTTTAAGAAAATTTAGGAGCACTGGTGTTTCAGATAATAAAAGGGGGATTGTGGAATACTTACTGACTTTTTTCCCTTTTCTTTCCCTTTTTTTTTCTTTTGTCTTTTGGGTCTTACTATGCCGTTTAGGCTGGCCTTGAACTTTGTAGCCCAGGCTGGTCTTGAACTTGCAACGATCCTCCTGCCTCAGCCTCCCAAGTTCTGGTATTACAGGCATGAGCCACTACGCCTGTGTCTTACTTGCTGATTTCTGAGTAGGAGACTAGCAGCAGAGCCTGGACCTGCTGAGAAGTGCCTTCCGACTCAGCAGTGGGGTTCTTCTCTGCCTACCCCAAATGGATCTCTTTTGGGAGACAAGCTGTGCAAGACATGAGTCTGGTAATTATTTGTTTGTTTTTGGTTATTTTAAATACTGCCAGTTTCCAGACAGCTATATGAATTAATTAATTAATTTATATATTGTCTTTCTGAGATAAGGTCTTACTACCCGGTTCAAGCTGGCCTTGAGCTCACTTTGTATCCCAGGCTGGTCTTGAACTTGAAATGATCCTCGTACCTCAGCCTCTAGGATTGCAGGTGTGGGCCACCACGCCTGCTCTGAATTTATTTATTTTTTTATTTTTTGATGGTTATGTACTGAATATGAATTTTTTTTTTTTTTTGTACTTGGAATTGAACTCTTGACCTTGCACTTGCCAGGCAGGCACTGTACTCCTGGGCTATATTCCTGGCCCAATTCTTGCTGGAAAGATTACTGATGAAATATTTTCAGTAGCTTTGACATTTTTGTCAATTTCTTGATTATTTTTCCTTTTTGTTTTCTTGTTGTCCTGCCCTTGATGGTTGAGTAAATTTCTGATGATTAAATTTGTCTCTAAGACATGAATTAGCAAAGTTTCTATTTCAATGCTGAAGAGCCGGTTGGCACCATGAAGATTTTCTGCGGGCGAACCAATCCCACCACAGGATCCATGGAATGGCTGGAGCAGGACGAGCACTATGATTACCACCAGGAGATTGCCAGGTAACAAGCGTTGGTTCACAGGGCTGTAACTGGATGAGGTACTTGTTCTTAAAACAGACACCTTGGAATCCATTCTGGTATGAATTAGGCTGTCTTGGTGCTTACAATCAGACAGGTCTGCTTTGCCAGATAAGTTTATAGGAGTTAGGCAAGTACAGATATCATGTAGCAGTCTTACTAGACATTCTCAGAAGATCTGATTCATGGAGCAAAGAGGATGTAAGATTCAGTAGTAGTGGAGGTTATGAAATTTAATCATTGTGTCAGTAAAACAGTGACATATTCAGTATATAGTTAAATTCTCTTGAATAAAAAGTGGAAAATATTTTTTCTCCCATAGAATATTTTAAGTACTAATGATTATTTAGCAATCATTAAATATATTCAGCTTGCCAACAGTTAT